TATATTTACTACAATGCCATAAATTTCTGAACCCAGTTTTGAATTTACATGTCCAATAGTATAATCGTCAGTGTAAAAAAAAGATTTTTAATTTTCCTCTTGAGTTCGTAATCTTAAAAACCTTTTCAATGCAATTTTCTTACGTGTTTTTAAAAACTATTTTGTTGTGACAGGGAACTACAGCTGCCTGGTGGCTTCCTTTTACCTTTCGCGGTCCGTGGGCTTCCATCTGGTGCAGAGCTACCTCCCCACCATCCTCATCGTTGTCATATCGTGGGTGTCCTTCTGGATGGACGTGGATTCGGTGCCGGGCCGGACGACCCTCGGCGTCACCACACTCCTCGCCGTGTCATCGCAGTCCTCGGGTAAGGTTTACGCTTTTCATCACAGTGCGATTCAAGTTCGTGCGCATCAGAAAATGCGATGAGGAAGCTAATCAGATTCCCTCTTTTGACTTGTGCGCCGAGTGGCAGCTGAGAGGCTGGAAATGCCTTTTTTTCTCCTTTGGGGTAGCGGGGGGTGGGGGTTATAATGGTGTTGGAGGAGGGGGTGAGGCCCCTCTGCGTTTTCCCAGCAAAGCCGTCCATAGTAATCTTCCCTCAAATCTTTGCGAGGGACAGGAAATGAAAGGTTGTCGCGCGAGAGAGCGCTCTAAACCCCCCTTCATTCATTTCTGCTTCACAAAACAAGGTTCACGCCGCCGCCTAGTTTGAAATAGCGAAATCTCAATTAATCTGTGGGCTAATCGGCGCGCCGGGGTGGAGGCCGAGCCGTCGCTGCCGTCGCCGGGCTCCCTGGCCGAGCTATATCTCGACAAAAGCAATTCATTCCGCACCCCGAAGCACCAATGGGCATTTCATCCGGCTCTTGACCGGGAGGCCGCCCTCCTAAAGGCCGCTCGGGCTGCTGTCGCCGACTCTCCGCCCGGCTCGAGGGCTTGCCAGGCCTGTTTAGAGAGACCATCGGGTAATTAAGATTCAAGCCGAGAGAAACTGGCGCGGCGAGGAGGGTCGCCTTCCCTTCACTCCCGCACCCTCGTGACGAGGGGTACACCCGCGCTGCTCCCTCTCTGCGGTGGAGGCGCTGCGAGCGAGGGGTAGCACCGCCACTCATCTCCCGTCTGATTACAGGTATCCAGAGTGGGCTGCCCCAAGTGAGCTACGTCAAGGCCATCGACGTGTGGATGGGCACGTGCACAGGTGAGGTTTCACGATTGAATGCAAAGTGTCCAAAACGCTGTTCAACTGATTCAAGCAATCCAAATGAAAGTGACAAGCGTCCAGCTTTTGTTTTTCTGTTGCCAGTCGTCGAGACAGGGTGAAATAGTGTGAAATGTTATTCGAACTTGTGTTTTCAGCGTTCGTCTTCTGTGCGCTACTCGAGTTCACCTTCGTCAACTACATGTTCCGGAAGCCGCCGCCCGGGGAGGCGATGCACTACAAGTCGAATAAGCGCAAGAACCTCGCGGGCGCAGAGAATGGCGAGGCGGGGACTCCCTCCAACAAGGGCCTCCCCGACGGCGACGTGGTGCCGGAAGCGGTAAGTGTCCCGTCTCCACGGTAAAAACGACGCCATGCTTTCCAATCAATTAGTTCGCGCTCCAAGCAAATGTGGTGATCTCCAAGTAGGTTGCTCGCACTGTAAATGGGTTGGCGTCTTTTGACACCAAAACATTGGCGTCTTATGACGCCAAAATTTGGCGTTCTATAGAGGACGCCAATATTTTAGCGTCATAAGATGCCAACCCATTTACAGTGCGGTGCGCAAGCAGAGAGAGAGAGAGATCCACCCTCTCCAAACGGAGAGACCCGCTTTTCAAGCAGAGCGCACTGTTTTCCAAGCAGGCGCGCTACCGTTTTCAAGCAGATTGGCCGGTTTCCAAGCAAAGCCCCCATTTTGTTTGGAAATTGCTCCATTTGATTGGAGTAGGAAATCTGATAACCAAGACGTCGTTTTTACCGTCCGCGCGCCTGGGAGGTAGGCACCCGTCCGCTGGGCGGCGCGCGCGCGTAAAGTGCGCTGCCTACCCCGCGGTCTGCAGGCTGACCCTGCCCGCGGCCGGCGGCGCTTGGGCGCTTCAAGGGCGCTTGGCCGGTGCCGCTCACTGACCCCTCAGCTGGTGTTGCAGGTCGCTCTCACCCCGGCTGGCCTCCACTCGCACATCCACCACCACCGCATCGAGACGGAGCAGGAGGCGTACGCGCGCCGCATCGACGAGATCTGCCGCGTGGGCTTCCCCGCCGTGTTCGCCGTGTTCAACGCCATGTACTGGTCCTACTACCTGCAGGGGTAGGGACACAGCAGCCCGCCCTCACGCCAGAACACGAGGACATATAAAAAAAGTGCCCGCGTTCAGTTGTTAGATGATATATTCTATTTTTGTTGTTGTCTCCGTATGTGACCACAGAAAACTATAGTGACTGAGGTGATCCGTGGCGCCTGCCGGTCGGGAGCCACACGACGTCGTCTCCAAGAGAATGCGCGCGTGACGCGTGCAAAAAAGAGAACTCTATTTAATCTAGTCTTAGCTGTAACGACGACCAAAAGAAGAGGACAGGTGGGGAGGGAGATGGGGGCCAACGAGTTGTTGTGGCACGTGCCAGTGCAGTGCCGGACACTCCCAGCCGGCAGCGTGGAGCTCCCCTACAAACGCCCTCCTGCGGACGCTGGCCGAGTTCACCTTTGTGAGTTAGAGACTCCGACTTTGTTCGTTTGCGACACACACGTCCCCACGCGTCTGCCGTTTGTTCGGTGAGTCGCATAATGGTGTTGCTTGTGGGTTGGGGTACTGGCTTGGAACTAGAGTCGGGAGGAGAGAAGAGGCCTTGCTCATCGGTGAGAATACAAAGCTGTGTGATATTTGTAGAAAAGCATATTTCAAGTTTGTGAGTAATATTAAATTATCGATATTACTAAACTGGATATTTTTGCAAAAATAATGATTTATGGGGGGTCCATCGGCCTCTACAAAAAACATTCATTAAAATCTACGAAGGATCTGTATAGTGTATTTCGACTAACGGAGGAAGAAGAAGAGCGGATAGAACATACATAAACGTTACCGATTGGCCGAGAGCTTCCCGCCTCTACGTCACGCCAGAAGTGGGGGTAAGCGTTCGGCCAATCAGGAAACTTTATGTTCTACCCGCTATTCTTCTTCCTCCGTTAGTCTTAATACACTATATTTTGATATTTTATGATTTTGATCTTGATGTTTAGACTTATAATGAAAAATTCAATTGCTGGTAAAATGTTTTCAGATTCTTAACTAAGTTAGGTAGATGCAGTAATTACAAGAAACCACATCACTTGGAAACTTTCTCTATACTCCCATGTTATTTAAAACAATAGTTCAACTGCTCTTTAAATTTTAATGGCAGCTTAAAGTACTCAAATGTATCAATTCAAACAATTGATTGCATACATAAACCAAAATAATCATTTCAGCATCTTTATGCATTTTGTGTTTTTGTTTGTCCTTACTTACAGTCCAAGAACATGTCAAATAAAATAATATGTGTAAATGCCGTCAGATTTCAGAAGGGGATTGAAAATGTTAAAGATATTTTGATGTCAAAGTTTTGTACGCTGTTAAAATAAGTTTGATGATGGGGCAATAATATTGACAGATAATCAGAACAAATGGGGAAGGGGAAATTCACTTCAGTATTTAAAGCAACCCCTATTTTCAGCGAAAATGTGTCATATTCAATTTAGATTAGCTCTTTCATTTATTTTTTAAATTTGATTTTTTTTTTAACCATATAGACGTCCCAGAGATGTCCCGCAAGCACTATAGTGAATTGCAATATCACGAGGTTGGGGGTCAAAACAATGGCCTTCACTGTCAGTGATGGTAGTTTGTACTATCAGTTAGTTTGGGGCGCAGCAAGTGCTCTTGTAAATCTTGTGCATACATTTTTCTGTACTTAAGTAGCTTAAGCCCACTGAAAAAACAACGCACGAAACTAAAACACACTGTAGCTAAGGACCAATTTCAGTTATGTTTGTACATACGAGAATACTTTGCAGTCCTGGAATTAACTTGCTTTTGATAAATGATTGTATCAAGACTCTTTACTAAACAATTAAATCAGTGCCTGATTGCTCTTGATTGTCAACCAGAATGTTTGTATGTTCTGCCTTTCTTTTTGCCTAAACTGTTCATAAATGAAAACAAGGACCTCTTCCTTCCCCTTTCCTTGCACTCTTGAGACAAACTAGACAGAGAGAAAAGGTTGTTTTAACTGGCTGAATTAAAAGTTTGACTCATTTTAGTCGCCTGCGCGGTTAATGACTCACCTGGCCTTACTTAACTCCTCTCCCACAAAAAGATGATTTGCAGCATGTAAACAGGGTGCTTTACCCAGCAAATATGGTAGAATTGATGTTGATTATTTCAAATATTGCCCTCTATGAAATGTTTTTGTGCCTGGCACTTGGTTTAAGGGTCATTGGCTCATGCATAGAAATAGATTCATGCTTCTAATGATTATTTTATTAACACGTTGAGTCGCGAGAATTCCCCTTTTACATGCTATTGTTGCTATACGTGTGTTCATAAGGGACTCAACATGTTAAGCAGCCTTTAAACTATTTGTCCTACAATTTTCAAAAGAAAAACATTTTTACTAGTAGATATTGTTTTGCAAGAAAACTTTCCTCTCTTCCCAAGCAATTTACAGTGTCCTCTTTTCATAAAATAGTTCAGTGATAATATAATCTATAAGTTTTCCATGTAAAAATTAAATAAAGTGTTTTCCAATTCAACTATATAATAAAGATTTCTTCCCCAAGTGACACACAACAAAAGATTTCCTTATTCTAGTGCTGTGTGTCAGGTCTACGACACCGCAGTGTTGCGGGCTTGCCTACCTCGAAAAACTCAGAAAAAAGGACGTCCCTGTTTGTAGCTACACGATTGTAGCTACAGCCGACAGTGCCCGAGTCAGCATAAACTGAACCGTCTACAGACGAATTCATTACTTCTGCCAATGCTAGAATATCAACCAGAACTAAACAGCGCTAAGAACTATAAACCGAAAACGAAATAGTTCAATGCCTCTCCGAAGCTCTCGCCTTGTCC